CGGGCATGGGATGGGGAATACGTATCAAAAGGAGTGTGTTATCTAGAATGGTGGGATTGCAGCAGAAGGGATTATAAGAGAATAAGCGGGCATGGGATGGGGAATACGTATCAAAAGGAGTGTGTTATCTAGAATGGTGGGATTGCAGCAGAAGGGATTAGAAGAGAATAAGCAGGCATGCGATGGGGAATACGTATCAAAAGGAGTGTGTTATCTAGAATGGTGGGATTGCAGCAGAAGGGATTATAAGAGAATAAACTTGCATGAAAAGGAGTGTGTTGTCGGCAGGGAATGTTGCCAGTTGAAGTTCACATTTCTTAAAAGTTGCCAAGGTTGAGAAACATTTGCATGAAATGCATATAACAAGTTCTACAACCTCTCCTAGGCCGGCTGGCTGGCAGTGCCAGGCCTGATTGATTTTTGTGGGGCTCCAGGCCTTCTGGAGATCTTGTGACGGGGGCTCCGGGCGTCTCTGTAGCCATGGAGTCTTCTTCTCAACGGCTCTTCTGATCTTCTGTCCACAGTTCACGGCATCAAATGGACCTGCAGCAACGGGAACAACAGCTCCGGCTTTTCGGTGGAGCAGCTGGTGCAACAGATCCTGGACAGCCACCAAACGAAGCCGCAACCTCGGACGCACAATTGCCTCTGCACTGGCAACCTCGGTGAGCTGGCCGGGTCTCAGTTGGAGACACAACCCCCCCCCCCCACAAGAATTCCATTCACTGAATTCACCGCGTTCACATTACGGATGCTCCTTGGTTTACCACCAATCGCTTAGTGGCTGTTTGAAGTTACGACGGTGGTGTAAAAAGTGATTCGGGATAGGTTCTCACACTTACGACCGTTGTAGCATCCGCCTGGTCCAAGCTGTGCCACTTGGCAACCGACCCGTATTTACGACGGTTGCGGTGTCCCAGGGTCAAATTTCTGTTGCTAAAGGGAGACACTTGGGAAGTGCGTTCTGCCCCATTTCACGACCTGACTTCCCGCCGTTGTTAAGTGAATCCCTGAAGATAATACACTAGTCACGTGGCTGTTATGCGATTCCGTCTTCCCCCCCCCCCCATAGATTTTGCTGATCACATGACCCCGGTATACTGTGACCGTCATAGATACGAGACAGTTGCAAATTGTACAATGGTTATAAATGTGAAAAGTAGTTCTACGTTACTTTTTTCAGTGCTGCTATAATGGTCACTAATGGTTGTAAGTCGAGGATTATCTTAATGAATCTGTTGCGGCCCGGCAGTGGAGCTGGCAGCAGAGTCGGACAGTGAGGAGGTTGGGGAGGAAGATGGGCCAGTCCTGGAGTCTGGGGAAGGCTCGGAGGAGGGCTCTGTGTCGGAGGCAGAGAGGGGGCTGAGGCCGTCTGGCAGTTATCAGCTGCCTTTGGAGTCAGAAATCAGTGAGGCAGAGGAACAGCTGGAGCCTG